ACCTCGAAGACGAGTTCGAGAGGGAGCTCCGCGGCGAGCTCGAAGGCATGGGCACCGAGCCCACTGCCGCCGCACTCCCGAGCCCCACGCCGAACAGAGTCTGCAGGCGGCACGGCGGCGACTGGAAGACCATCGCGAAGGCCACCATCGTTGAGTACCAGATCGAGTTCACAGTCACAGGCGCCTTGGAGTGGCCCTGCACCGCGATCAACTGGGCGAAGAACAGCAGGGTCGGGCCTTCTCGGTACGGTCCGGTTCGGTGTGTGCCTGGCGGCGGATACCGCCTGCCCTGACAGCATCCCCTCCGACCGCGCGAGGCCCTCGCTCCGCCAGCGCGCCCAGGACGACAGGACGCTCCAGCAGCGCGTCGGCATGCTTGCTGCCGCCCAGCGCGCAGCCCAGGCGGTCGAGTACGATCGCCGGCCCTCGGCGGCTTTCCTGGCCAAGAGCCGCGGGCAGGCCGCGAGGCCGTCGTGCCTCAGCTTCGGCATCGGCGACCAGGTCTTCTGCTGGCGTGGCCTGAGTAAGACCAAGAAGATGTGGAACTTCAAGTGACACGACCCCGGGGTCGTTTAGGCTACGAGGGGAACAACGTGCGGGCTTCGCACAGGAGCACTACCCTGAAGTGTTCGCGGAGCAGCGAGAAGCCCGAATTCCAGGAGAGAGACGCCCTGCGTGAAGGTTCCTCCGGGTACCAACAACGACTACTACGACGACATGACCGTCGACGAAGAGGAAATCCCTGGGCCGACGAACGCCAACCCTACCTCGGGAAGGCGCCAGACAGGGAAGCGCAGTGGGCGCTTCGGCTACCGCCCCGAGGGCTCGACCGAGGAGCAGACCCCAGGGCCCCCACCATTATTCAACGCTTCGGGCCCTAATGAATCGGCCGATCCAGAATCGAAACGAGCACGATTCACGTGCTCCAGAAACGCTCCGCTGGAGCAGGGAGAGGAGGAGAAGGAGAAGGGAGGAGGAGGAGGAGAAGGAGGAGGAGGTGGGGAAGGAGGGCGCGGAGGAGGAAGGAGAGGAGGGGGAGGAGGAGGAGGAGGAGGAGGAGGAGGAGGAAGAGGAGGAGGAGGAGGAGGATTAGGAGGAGGAGCAGGAGGGGGAGGATGGAGAAAGGAGGCGGAGGGAGGAGGAATGAGGAGGAGGCAGGAGAGAGGATGGTGAAGGGAGGATGGGGCAGAGGAAAAAATGGGGAGGAGGCCGCGTGATGATGCTGCATATGATGATTATGACGACGACGATGATGATCATAATGAGAATGATAAAGATAATGATAATGATAATGGCAATGACAATGATAAAGATAACGATAATGATAATGAAAACGATCACGATAACGATATCGATAACGATATCGATACCAATAATGAGAATGCGAATGATGATGATAATGATAATGATAATGGTAATGATAACGATAACCATAATGATAATGACAATGGTAATGATAATGGTAACGGTAATGATAATAATAACGGCGATAGTGATAATGTTAATGATGAATATGACCATGATGATGATGATGCTGATGATGACGATGCTGATGATGGGGAGGAGGAGGAAGATATGATGATGGTAGTGGTAACGATGATGAATATGATGATGGTGATGGTATGATAACGATGATAATGATGACAGTGATAGTGATGAGGACGAGAATGATGATGATGATGCTGATCATGATGATGATGATGGTGAGGATGAAACTGATGACTCTGCTGATGATAAGGACGACGACAACGATTATGGTGATGACAACGACGATGACGATGGTGATGACGATGGCGACAACGACGACGACTACGATGATGATGACGACACTGGTAATGACGATGACGCTGACGACGATGTCGCTGGTGCTGATTATGAATACGATGATGGCGACGACGATAACAATTATGATGATGAGGATGACATGGATGATGATGTTGACCATGATGATGATCATGGCGACGATGATAACAATGATCATGACGATGACGACGATGACGATGACTGTGCCGACGACGACGATGATGACGTTGACGATGATGATGACGCTGACGATGATGATACTGATGATGATGACGACGGCGGCGATGACGATAATGATGACGAGTATGCTGATGACGGCGATGGCAATGGCGGCGATGATGATGATGATGATGATGATTGTGGTGGTGACCATGACGATGCTAGTGATGACGATGACGATGACGATGACAATGATGATGAGGATGCGGAAGCGAATGTTGCTGATGAGGTTAATGACGATGATGACAATGGTGCTGATGATTTTTTCTCCCCGCACACCTTCAGCGATGACAGCGTCGACTCTGCAAGCTCAAGTTGTTGCTTCAACTCGTCGCGCGTTCGGCGCGCCGTGTCCAGAGTAACACGATGCTTCCTGCGGACTTCTCTATTCCCGCGATTGGCAGCCATGTCAACGGAAACGGCCTCTATGCTATCGTCTAGCGTGGCCAGTCGTGACCGCAAGGCAACAATGTCGCGAAATAATGAATTCTTGGCCTCAACAGGATTCGAGATCTCACGACCACCTGGGAGCTCACGAGTATCAGGGAGCCCACGATCATCAGCGGGAGCAGCCTCGGCAGAGCTAAACGCGGCAAGGCTTGGGAAAACGGGGGCCCCAGACAACTTGCCACAATGCGGACCTCCAGGGGTGTCGGACATCACCTCATCGCCCTCGCCACCCTCCCCGCGCGCCTTCTTGCGAGGCGGCGACCCAGTTGGAGGAACACCAGCGCCACAAGCACGTTCAGGGTCAACTCCACGAAGGTCATCTCCACGAAGGTCGCCTCCACGAGGGACGTCTCCTCGAAGGTCGTCTCCACAACGGTCGGCGCCACGAAGGTCGTCTCCATGCAGATCTTCTCCACAAGGGTCGTCTCCACGACGGTCGTCTCCAGGAAGGTCGTCTCCACGACAGATCGGCACCAACACCTCCACGACGGTCGTCTTCACGAAGATCTTCTCCACGACGGTCGTCACCAGCACGAAGGTCGTCTCCACAAACGGCGGCTCCAGAACCGCCACGACAGTCGGCTCCAGCACCTCCACGAAGAACTTCCCCAAGATGGTCGGCACCAGCCCGAAGGTCGCCACCCCGACGGTCGGCACCAGCACCTCCACGACGGTCGTCACCACGAAGATCGACTCCACGACGGTCGGCACCAGCACGAAGGTCTCCCCCCGAAGGTCGGCTCCGGCACCTTCACGACGGCCAGCCCCAGCACCTCCACGAAGACCTTCTCCACGACGGTCGGCACCCGCTTCTCCACAACGGTTTTCTCCATGAAGAGCGTCTCCATGAAGGTCGGCACCAGCACGATGTTTGTCACCGAGATCGTCGACTCCAGCACCTCCACGACGGTCAGCCCCGTCACTTCCTCGAAGATCTTCACCACGATGGTCGGCACCAGCACCTCCACAAAGATCCAGCACGTCGAGAGCAGCAGGTACCCGATCGGCATGATCGGCACCTCCAGGAAGGCCAGCCCTGGAACATCCATCAGGAGCAGCTTCTCGGCCAACATCTCCAGGAAGGTCGGTCCCAGCAACGTCTGGATGATCAGCACCGCCCCGACTATGGTGAGATTCCGCATCACCGGTATGATCAGCACCAGCACCTCCACGAGGAAGCAAGCCAGGAAACGGCCGCATCACGAAGCTGATATGCGACTCGTCGCGCGAGTTCAGGTGCCCATGATCGACGGCGACGACATTGCCAATGTCGTAAAGCATGTGCTGCAACAGTGCGATGGCCAGCCCATTGCGGACACGCCCATCAGCAAGGGGGAAGAGGCACACCTGGACCACAATCTTGTCTACGTGGCTGTGCATCTTGATCGTCGCTCGGCGCCCGCTAAGAAGTTGGAGGACGGTCCACTCGATCCGCACAGCCGTGACCATGAGAAAGACAAAAGCAAACGAACACAGAAGGGCACGCAAATGCGAGCAATTGGCCACACCTCGGGCAAACGCCTGAGCCTAAGTGGCTATGACGATGGTGCTGATGATGATGACGATGATGATGATGATGATGATAATGATGGCGATGGTGAGGGCAATGCTGATGCTGATGATGATGATGACGATGAGAATGATGATGTCGATGAGGATGAGGAGGATGATGATGTTGATGATGTGCATGATGATGACGACGTCGACGACGACGATGACGATGATGATGCTGCTAGTGATGATGAGAATGATGGCGATGATAGCAATCACTGCGCCTTGATGATGATGATGATGATGATGATGATGATGATGATGATGACGATGATGATGATGATGATGATGATGATGATGATGATGATGATGATGATGATGACGAAGGTGATGATGATCATTAGGATTACGAGTGATCCTGATGCGGGGACCCAGTGGGCGTAGGGGGTGGTGTTGCTATCTCGACCTCGGCCCCCTCCGACCCGCGGCTCCGTCCAGGGGGGAGACCGCCCGTCGGGCCCCCTCTGACACTCCGCGGCCGATTTCGTCTCCCTTCCCTCCTCTGGATCAGACGCGGCCTGATGTTTGAACTTTTGTGGGAACCCTCGGTCTTCGGGTCGAGCTGACCTAGGGTGGCGTGCAGCTCGCCAACCGCGTCCACACGCAGCTGGCCCGCGGGCTCTCCCCCCCCCATCCGCGCAAACTGTGAAAATGTCTGGCACTTCCACAGACGGAGGGCGGACCGAAGTCAAAACATGGCTGTCGCCTTTGTGTCGCGCGCCATTGTTTCCAATGTTCCCATGGGGCGACACCGTGTGTGACGATCGTATTTGACAATGTTTTGCACGGTTGTGGGTGGGTAGTTATTTTCCAGGCTGACTTGTCGCCGCGATCTTTGCACCGAGTGATCCCGAATCTGGGTTTGCTGCAGTCACATGGACGGAGGGTGATGTCTTTTGCGGAATTGGGCCCTTGGTTGCGGCTCTCTTGCGCGAAGATCCTGATGCTTCAGATGACGGGCGGCTCGTTTCCAATATCGAGGATTCCCTGGGACTGTCCCGCGATGACATGTTCTGCTCGCGCGACGTGTCAGCAACCATTCAAAGGAAGTGCATATCATTATGTACAGTCGCGCGTTTGCTCTAGCGCTGCGAACATTATCGAAACCGCTTGCGGCGAAACATCGCCGAAGCTGCCTTTTGGAAGGTCATATGTGCCCAAGCGTTGGGCCAATATCAGGCCAAGCTAGGAAAAGAGAGGTGAGACTTCGGACTGCTTCCTCGGCCACGCTCGAGAAGGCAGGGGAGAGCTGGTGGCAGTCGTACTAGTAGTCCTCCCAGTAGTCTTGCTACTACGAATACTAGTAGTAATAATGAAAGTGCAGGTAGTAGCACTAGTAATCGTAGAAGTAGAAGCAGTAGTCGTAGGAGTAAAAATAGGAGTGGTAGTAGTAGTTGTAGTAGTAGTGCAGTAGTAGTCGTAGTAGTAGTAGTAGTAGTAGTAAGAATAACAATAGCAGTATTAGTCGTCGTCGTCGCAGTCGCAGAATAGTCGCAATCGTAGTCGTAGTCGTAGTCGTAGTAGTTGCTGTAGTAGCAGTAGTGGTAGTGGTAGTGGTAGTGGTAGTGGTAGTGGTAGTGGTAGTGGTAGTGGTAGTGGTAGTGGTAGTGGTAGTGGTAGTGGTAGTAGTAGTAGTAGTAGTAGTAGTAGTAGTAGTAGTAGTAGTAGTAGTAATACTTTGACCACTACGGATTCTACTACTACTACTACTACTACTACTACTACTACTACTACGATTACTACTACTACAACTACTATTATTTGTAGTATTACCATTGCTATTTGTATTACTCGTAGTAATACCACCACTACTATCACTACTTATACTACCTCTTCTGCTATTCTTAGTACGAGTACTTCTATTTCTCTTACTACTACTACTACTACTACTACTACTACTACTACTACTACTACTACTACGACTTGTATCATTACTACTACTACTACTAGCAAGGCTGCCTTTTACGACTCTACTGCCATTACCACTATTATTACTAGTACTGCTACCACTAGTAGTACTGATACTAGTACTACTCGTACTTATACTGCTACTAGTGTTACTATTAGAGGTAACAGTAGCAGTAGTAGTAGTAATAGTCGTAATCGTAAAAGTAGTATTAGTAGCAGCAGTGGTAATAATAGCAATAACAATGATAGACAAAGTCGAGGTAGGCCGGCCGAGAGGACCCAGCGATTGGCCTGAGACTTCCTGCTCATTAACAACCAACATGCTTTAAAAATTTGGCAGCAGCTTCACAGATGAAGGTCGGGTGGTTTTCAGAATGTGGCTCTCGCCCTTGGCACCGCGCAACTTTGTTCGAACAATGTGCGAGAGCATCAGGGAATGAAAGCGGGTCGTTTTCAAAATGTGGCTCTCGCCTGAGCGCCGCGCACATTATTCAAAACGAAGAAGCTTCACGGATGCAGGGCGAGTCGTTTTCAATATGTAGCTCTGGCACTAGCGCCGCGCACACCCGTGTTCAAAAATCGCAGAAGTTTCACGGAGTCGGGGCTGGTCGTTTTCAAAATATGACTTTCGCCTTGGCCCTTGGCGCCACGCACATTCCTTTTAAACATGTGCAGGAGCCCTACGGATTGAGAACGGGTCGTTTTCAAGATGTGGCTCTTGCCTTATCACCGCGCACATTCGTTTTAGAACTTTGGAAGTACACGGATTGAAGGCGGGTCGTTTTCAAAATGTGGCTCTCGCCTGAGCGCCGCGCACATTCATTGCAGCTCACGGATTGAGGGCGGGTTGTTTTCAGGATGTGGCTCTTGCCTTATCGCCGCGCGCACTCGTGTTACAAAAACTGCTAGAGCGTCACGGATTGAGGGCGAGGCGGTTTCAAAATTTGGCTCTCGCCGTAGCGCAATGCACGCTCGCTTTATACATTTTCAAGAGTTTCACGGGTTTGGGGCGGCTTCTGTTCAAAATGTGGCTCTCGCCTTTGCGCCGCGCACATTGATTTTAACAATTCGCAAGAATGTCACTGATGATCACGATTAGCGTACAAGAAATTTCTGGAACGATTCAGGATTCACGGCGCAACAGTTAGGTTGAGTCGCGGTGATGAAGTCCCAGGAACGGTGTTCTGGCACGACTCAGGATCGCCAAGACACAACAGTCAAGTTGACTCGTGGCGTTGAGGTCATTAGAGTGTTGCTTTGGCACGCGCCAAGATGTTCACACGGTTGTCCCTCAAAGGGGCAATTCCCTCAGTGGAGATGACCCCTTTTGTGAGGGCCTACGAAGAGGGATCTTGGAGGGGGGGTGTATTTCAGCATCGTTGATGAGCCTTGGGTTTACACTCGTCCTCCTCCTCCTCCTCCTCTCCTCCTCTTCCTCCTCCTCCTCCTCTTCATCTTCCTCCTCCTCCTCCTCCTCCTCCTCCGCCTCCTCCTCCTCCTTTCTCGAGCCTCTCCCGGCGCCGCGCGCCGCCCCAACGGGGCCGGCTGCGTTGCTGCCCTCTTTTCTCGGCGCCGCCGCCCGCCGTCGCGGTTTGGTTCGTGGGCAGCGTCGCGACCACCCGGCGAAGGAGTGGCAAAATCGTGTCCCATCGCATCCTCACTGACCTTTTCTTTCCCACCTCCTCCTCCTCCTCCTCACCACCATCATCAATATTCCTCCTCTTCCTCTTCCTCCTCCTCATCCTTTTCCTCCTCCTCCTCCCCCCCTCCCCTCCTCCCCCTCCTCCTCCCTATCATCCTTCCCCTCCCTCATCCCTCATCCCTGAATCCTCCTCATATCCCTTCCTGACATCCCCCTCCGCTTCATCATCGTCATCATCCTTCGCCTGCTACTTTTCCTCTCCCACGTTCCTCCTGAAGTGCACCCTCCGACTCTTACAAATCCACCACGTGTTGCATCTCTCCTACCTTCATTCATCCCAATCTCTGCTCCCACGCGCTCATCCATCCTCTTCCACCCCCTCCTCCTCCAATCACCCTCTTCCCTCATCTTCCTTCTCCTCCTCCTGCTCCTCCTCCTCCTCCTCATCCACCATTCTCATCCTCCTCCTGTTCCTACCTCCGCACCGACCTCTCCTCTCCTCTCCTACGTATACCTCCCATCCATCATACCCCTGTTCAGTCACATCCTGCCTCTTCCCATCCTGGACACCCATCATACAACCCGTGATCCCCCCCTGTTCCTCCACCTCTTCACCCCTGTCCTCGTATTCCGTTTCTGGCTTCCCTTCTCCCGCCCACACACCCTCCCCCATCCTTCATAGGTCCGCCCTCCCGGTTCCCTCCTCATGCATTGTCCTGTCACTGATCAAGTGTCGATCCTCCTCATCATCCACCTCCCCCCTTTCATCATCAGCATCATCATCAGCAGCATCATCATCAACCTTCTCATCAGCATCAGCATCGTCATCATCATCACCATCATCATCAGCAGCATGATCATCCCCACTATCATCAGCATCACCATCATCATCACTGTTACCATCATAATCATCATCCGCATCCTCATCATCGTCATCATCCTCATCCGCACCCTCAGCATCACCATCATCGTCATCATCATCAGTATCATCAGCAGCACCATTAAGACCATTAACACATGATCACCACAAGCGCCATCATCGTCATCATCATCATCATCATCGTCATCAGCGGCAGCGGCATCAGCATTATCAGCATCATCATGACCATGGCCATCGTCACTGCCGTCATCATCATATCATCACCACCAGCGCCGTCGCTATCGCCGTCGCTGCCGCCAACCAACCTCCTCCTCCCCAGAATCATCATCATCATCAGCAGCAGCATCATCAGCATCAGCATCATCATTAGCATCGTCGTCATCATCAACATCACACTGATCATCACAAGCATCATCGTCACCATCATCCTCAGCAGCATCACCATCATCTTCATCATCAACAGCAACAGCATCAGCATCATCGCCATCAGCATCAGAAGTTGGCTTTTTGACCGCTTCGGCAAACCGATCGAGCAGGGCCGTCAGCCCCCTGTCGCTCAACCCGCTGAAACACGGGCCGCTGCATGTCCGCAGACATCCACCCAGATCAGGGGCTCCGCCGTAGGAAAAGAGAGTCATATCCCGGGTGTCCTCCGTTTCTGCCATGGACAGTTCCTGGAGTGCGCCTGGAAAGTCCCGCGGTGCGCCGTCGGTGGCAAACCTGGCCACGAAACTGTTTAGGAGGGTGCGCCGCTGGATCTCCCCAAGGGGGGGGGGGGGTTAGGACGCCCCCCCCCCCCCCCTTCCCCGATCCGTCGTCGGCAAACCCCCCCCCTCCTCCCTTCCCCGATCCGTCGTCGGGGACCCCCCCCCTCCCTCCCCCCCCTTTCCACGACCCCGTCGTCGGGAACCCCCCCCCCTCCCCCCCTTCCCCCCTTTCCACGACCCGTCGTCGGGACCCCCCCCCCCCCCTTCCCCGATCCGTCATCGGGGACCCCCCCCCCCTTCCCCCCCCGATCCGTCATCGGGGACCCCCCCCCCCTTCCCCCCTTTTCCACGACCCGTCGTCGGGGACCCCCCCCTTCAAAAGGGAGGGGGGGTCCGACCCCCCCCCCCCCCTCCCCCCCTTTCGCCACGCCGCCCCCTGACGCTGGAACCCGACCCCCGCCACCCCTACCCCTAGTCCTCACCCGAACCCAAGACCCGAATCCGAACCCGAACCACTAACCCCAGCCCCAAAGGGAGTCACGAGGGGCCCCCTACCCCCTAACCGCTAACCCCAGCCTCCTACTCACTACCCTCTACTCACTACTCGCTATTCGCTAGTCACGACTCACTACTCACTATCCACTACTCACTACCCACCACCCACTACTCGCTACTCACTACTCTCTACTCACTACTCCCTCCTCCCTACTCACTACTCACTCCTCACTACCCACTATTCAATACTCACTACTCCCGAACAATTACCCACTACTCCCTATTCACTACTCAATAATCACTAGTCATTACCCACTACCCACTATCCACTACTCACTACTCACTACTAACTACTCATTGCCCACAAATCACTACTCACTACCCACTACTCGCTACTCGCTACTCCCTACGCCCTACACAGTACTGACTACACAGTACTCAGTACTCGCTACGCGCTACTCCCATACTCGCTACTCAATATTCACTACTTTCTCCCCGCTACTCACTATTCACCTCTCACTACTTACTACTCCCTACTCACTAGTCACTACATAGTCTCCAGTCACTAGTCACAACTCACTAGTCACTAGTCACTAGTCACTACTTACTACCCACTACTCACCAATCGCTATTCACTACCC